AATTTGTAAGCTACTGTCGTTTTTTGCCAATTTTTCGATGCTTGTTTCCTTCACCACACTAGGAATAATCACAGTTGAKCGATTTAGAGCATCAAGAAGAACTGTGCGTGTATCACAGCCGTACTCTCTAAAACAACGTCTTGGGGTGGTTGTTTGCTCGTGGTTTATTTCGGCAGCACATGCAGCACACCAAATACCATATCGATCAATCGAAGAACGATTCATTGGAATATATGTATGCAGAGTAAGGTCTAAAATGCCAGTTGGTTTAATAATCGGTGGTTAATTATTCAACACTTTTGTCCCATTTTGTCCCATTCTGTTGCATTATCATTCTAAGTGCCATTTCTTTACGAAGACTTTCCCATCGACATGAGATTCAATCAAGTCTCCCTGAAGTGCAGAGGAGAGCGAGGGCAAAAAGAATATCTGGTGCGATCAAAATGGTCTTGTCCTCGTTGTGTCTTTACTCAATTTGTTACGTTTCAGTTGTCATTTGGAGTTTCATTATAAAATTTCCTCGAAATAAGRTAGATGTCARCCAKTCTCGTTGCCATGAATTMCAAATGCTGTACTTTTTGATAACTTTTCTGCCTYTTGTCAATTCCTGCTTTGGGCCWGSTATTTACTTAATCTTTTTKGCTGACTTTCGTGAAGCAGCGAAAAAAATAATCTGCAGAACTATARATAATGCGGTAGGACCWTAGCTTGACGGTRCCTTAGAGTTACAATCCTTGGTTACTCGCAATGCTCGTAATTGARGRCGAATTACAGAATGGTKTCTGTCAAAGGAAATATCACTCCTCTTTCATGCACCGATCCAATTCAATTCGATTTAATTCAAATTCAATTTCAGTTTATTCATACGATTTACAACGGTACAATAGTTAAATAAGACATAGTTMCTAGAGTAGTTAAGTAGATTATTTAATCCTGGCGACAGTTTGCTAGTAGATTTGAAATAGGCGATATGMATTATGRCGTCATTTACTACAACTACCAGAATGCTTTGCCAACTTTCTTTTGTAATGCAATTAGTGCCAATTGTTTTATTAATCTCCAAGGGGATTAAAAATCTGAATAAMAATGAAAATGCGCAAGGCTCTCTGGTAGTTGTAGTAAAGTTACGTCATAATGCAAACGGCCTATTGRTCCCCAAAATGTATTCTTTCACGTAGGGCTTCAAGGTTTTACTTTTATTTTACTGTTTAATACTTTTTGTTGTACTGACTATATATTTACTTTAACTGTTGAATTGTACTTGAAGATCTCTCAGACCATTCTGAATGGGTCTTTGTACTTGCGRTCGATTAAAGCATTGTTATTGTTCTTATTAATTAGTTCATCCACAAGACTATATTGATTTGACGTATTTTATTTTGAAATGACAGTCTCTCAGTGTTATTTGTATATCTTCCTTGGAGTCAGTGAAAAAAAATGTAATTAACATCTTTCATTTTCTTTCACTTTTTTTTTCTGTTGTAAAACCTAGTGGGCTGAAGAGGTTTTTTATTAAGTAATGCCCCGAGAAAGAACTAGGGAAGCAAACGGCAAAGGAATGCAAGAAGGTGTTAATTGCGCATTGTATAATCCATCCATTACATTGGTTAGAACATGAAAATCTGCTATAATTTCACAAGTTAGGGAATTTTCTAATATTCTATTTAATGTCTGTTTTCGCTTTAATGAAAGCTTTCTTTAGCTTCAATATTAAGGCAATTCGATGTGGGGAACATTGCAAATTAGAAGCATCTTTTGGCTATTGTTTTGAGTGCTTGTGATTGGATAAGAACTTTTAATACAAAAGAAACTTAGTTTCAAAATAGAGTTTATCCACATTTTATTTCAAAATGTGTTACCCACAGGTTAATACATAATCAGTGTGAAAACCAAGACATTCGTACATGGGGAACTTGCTATGCCGCAGAACAATAGAGAGTTCCCTAGTTCTTTAGCGCATTGTTACTTAAACGTAACTAGTTTTCACTATTCTTTGTAGTCCTTGGCCAGTACGTACAAAAATTATATTATGAAATGATTGGCATTTGTAAATTTAATAACATCTTTATCATCGCTAAGATATGTCACATTTTAGTCTACATTTATTTGCAATATGGTCTTACTATTTATTTCCAATAAAATTTGAATGGATATGATTAAATTAAAAAAAAAATGAATGAATTTCAAACGATCTTGTCTCAAAGTTTAAAGTGAGGTACGAAAAAATAATTTTTAGCGCTTCACAAATCATAAATCCTTAATGATGAGTRGCACTGTCAATGGTAATTATATATTAAGTCTATTTTAATTAAGTTTTTACTTGACATCCTTTTCAGTCAACACTACAACTGTCAGTCAGTGCTATTATTGAAAATTTACATCAGTTCAATATACAAGCTTATTTTGTGCGTCAAGGCCAAACATAGTCTGGTGAAATCAAGATAAAATTAATATCAAAGCCTTGCAAAGTCTTCCAAAATACTCTTAATATCAAAGAGTTCAATATTTGCGTCCGTGGAATTAGATAAATATAGGCTCATACCAATCGTCTTGTTTTAAAGCTCGATTAGTTTAACCCCTGCTTGTGATAAAATTGAAATCGTAAAGCGATTCAATACTATGCCCTTTATTAATATTTTGAAGAGTTGTCAAAAACGTTATAATTAATCAAGAGAATCTACGATATTGAAGTCAATATTGTCACTTGCTTATATATTATTATCAAATGCGTCAGCGGATATTGATTTTAAATTGGAAGAAGGTTATTTTATGSGGAAAYACCAAATKGTATTTTAAGAGGTCCTAGCGAATGTAACTGAGATCATGAACAGCTCAGGGYTTGACAACATWACTAATRCGACCGAATTCATCTGTCCATTCAAAGATACGAATTTGACTCTCACTTTAAAAACCGCTGCAATTGTCATTGTTGGTGGATTTGGTATTTTGAACAATGTTTTCATCATMGTCCTYGCTCTTAAATACACCACAAGAAAAAACCTGCATCATTTGATCATCAACATGGCGGTTGCCGATGCTCTKCTARCTTTAGTAATACTTGGATTTGATCTRCCTTTCGTATTAGATAATTTCTTATGGGCTAAAGCAAAGAATACCTCTGGCGACTTGATTTGTARAACTAATTCATTTTTTGTCGTTGTTTTAGTCTTAGTATCAACCACTTCGTTAGGAATTATAAGCATAGAGCGATTTAGAGCGTCAAGAAAGACTGTACGAATATCACGTCCATACACACTAAAGCARCAACTGTCAGTTATTGCTTGTTCGTGGRTAGTTTCGGGAGCACTTGCTGGACACGAAACGCCTTATAGATCCATAGAAGAAATCTTTCCTGGACTTTATGCWTGTAAAGGAACCTCCAAAATACCATTTGGTTTGGCCATGTTAGTGTACASYAYACTTTCTTTTATGTATTTTGGCAGTATTTTTCTCARCGCCTTWACTTTGCGAAGGCTCTCTCATCGACGCGAAATTGAAGCAAGTTTGYCTRAARTACAGAGRAAAGCRAGGGCAAAAAGGATATCCGGTACAGTCAAAATGGTTTTATTGTCGTTTCTTCTTTTMACGRTTTGTTACATTCCTTTTGTCGTTTGGGCCTCGATCAAACAGTTTSCTGAAGGCACTATTGGTTCCCRTCTGGTYTATTGCTATGATGTATACATTTTTGGCTATTTGACGGCTTTTCTCCCTATAGTCAATTCCTGCTTCAGCCCTTGCGTCTACTTAACTTTCTTATCGGACTTTCGCAAAGCAGCGAAAGCAGTGGTTTGCCGTGGGTCTGTAGAACTAACGCAGACTTGAGCGGGACAATTTCAAAGGTGAATCGAGGGCCAAGTATTGGGTATACCATTTAGAGAAKATGACAATGTTATTATAAAGTTATGCTTCATAACTATAAATTTTTCAAAAGTGGCACTATTGTAGTGCATGGCTGCATGTGCAAGGGGTTGGTGTTGTATATATATATATATAACATGTATTTCCACGTTCTTAGTATTGCTTTTTAGGCCTGAGAAATATCATAATATAGTTTTATTTTCAATTTGTTCTTGTTAAAARAACCGAAGGCTGTAAAATACAAGGAATTTCTTAAATCCTGCCTCGATTATCAAACTAAAACGGACCACTCCTCTGAGAAATTTTTATGAAAACAGTAYTAATGTTAATCAGTATGTAAATCACTAATTACTTGCATAAACTACAATTAAAAACTACCTTGCTATAGGTAAATGATTGGTGATTGATGATTGATTAAACTTCAATTGCTTGAAAGAAGCCAAAGTTGTGGGTCGAACATGAAATAACCGATTTAGAATTTTGCAGATGATTTATACATATAATATATCAATTAATGCAGTAAAAAAATGAAAATTATATATAACAAGGCTTAGTTCATTTACAATATGCTAAGGGACAGGAGATGGAAATAGGGGAAGCCCCAATTGATTTCTATCCACATCACCCATCAAAAAGATTTAGTCTATCAAACTTGCATGTTTTTTGAATGTCTTCAATAACTTTATTCTATATTAACCTTTGTGGACACCTTAAACAAAATTCCGATTGATGCTGTCGTTCACATGTAACGTAGTATTCGACCGTGTCTCTTTTTTATCAGTTTTTCGATCGACATTTTTAAATGTAGTACATTTTTAAAAATACATATGTAAAAATAGTACATCAAGAAGACCAACGTGGTGAAATAGTTAAGGGTATTCAAGAGGTTCCTTGGTTTCGTGAGCATTTCAGTTGGATAGTTCATCAATGATAACATGATGAACACCTCGGAGTTTGGCCGTATTATAAACACCTCCGCCATCTGTCCTTTTAAAGATTCAGCCTTCTCTCACTCGCTAAAACTCTTTTCAATCTATTTTGCTACCTCCTGTGGTATTCTAAATAATGCGTTCATAATCTTCCTCGCTCTCAAATACGTTAGGACCAAAAACCTGCATCATTTGATTATCAACATGGCAGCTGCCGATGTCCTAAATGTTGTGTCACTGTTTGGTCTTAAAGCTTTGCCGATTATAGATCGTTTCATATGGGCTTATATCGAGATGATTTCTGGAGACAAAGTTTGCAAAGTGCTTTCATTTTTCGTCAATTACTCAATGCTGGTTTCCTTCATTACACTAGTAATAATAACTATTGAACGATTTAGAGCATCTCGACAAACTTTACATGTATCACGGCCATACACTATAAAACAGCGCCTGGCGGTTGTTGCTGGTTCTTGGGTAATATCAGGCGCACTAGCTTCTTACGACACGCCATTTAGAACTATTGAAGAAAGTTTTGCTGGTTCCTATGCGTGCAAAGGAAGCCATAAAGCACCAGTTGTTTTAATTATCGCTGTATTTACCATACTTGTTGTTGCATATTTTTTTATTATCATTCTAAGCGCTCTTACGTTAAAAAGGCTCTCGCACCGGCACGAAATTGAAGCAAATTTGTCTGAGTTTCAGAGGAGAGCGAGGGCGAAAAGGATTTCTGGTGCTGTCAAAATGGTGTTGTCCTCGCTGTTGCTTTACACTGTTTGCTACGTTCCAGTTGTTTTTTGGAGCTTTATAATACTTTTTCCAAATATCACCATTGTTGAAAATTACCACTGCTTTGAATTTTATGTATTTGACTTTTTAATGGCTTTTCTCCCACTTGTCAATTCTTGTCTTGGTCCTGGTATCTACTTGATCTTCTTGGCTGACTTTCGCGAAGCAGCGAAAAAAGTGGTTTGCAGATGTAATAGTAATGCAGTGGGACCTTGATGGTTAACTGTTATTGCTTAATGATGTCCCGGGCACTAAAGGGACAAAAATCCCTATACAAAAACTGTCGCAGCTAGAGTACAAACACTAAAACTGTGCAACATAAATACCACTAAATACTGTTAAATTATGCTAATTCTATTGTTTTCTATTGTTTAATTTTGTAGTAAATAGTGGAAAGTGTTGCACACATTTAATGTTTGTACTCTAATAATTATTATCATGTGCGTCTTAGCATAAGAAAAAAAGGTCAGATTTGGGCATGAAATGTTAAGATTATGTTACTTTTTTTAAAGAATTAAYTAAATTTTAGTATGGTTTTATTCAACTTACTTATAACTTTTATTTAGCTTGATCTGTTTTAACCCCCGGCCCTACCTTACCAAAATTATTCTTACATAAAAATCTACCAGAGTCTTTTGTTAATATTCTGAAGAGAAAGCACAAAATTAATAACGAAAAGAGGGATTTAAGATATTAAAGTCGTTGTCTATTTAATGAATAAGCCCGTAAGGGTTTCATAAGCTCTCCACACATATAGATATTTAATGAAAATTTATRATAACTTTGAAATTGTATTTATATATATGTGAAATAAACTGATGAAATGTTTGCTAAGGCATCAGCACATGTCCAACATAAGCTGGAAATCTAGCAAAAGATTAAAACAGGGCATTTCAGTACTGAGATTCGCAACACTCTTTTGGCGAACAGTTTGTATGATTTGTATTTGTCAAAGTCATATCATGAACGAGACAGACTCTGTCAGTATAACAAATACCTCCAACCACTTTATCTGTCCAYTTAAAGACACAGGTTTGTCTTATTATCTAAAAATCGCCGCAATTTGCTTTGTTGGTGGATTTGGTATTTTAAGCAATGTCTTCATCATCGTCCTCGCTCTTAAATACACYRYRAAAAAGAACCTRCATCATTTGATCATCAACTTGGCGGTTGCAGATTCTCTTCTAGTAATAGCAACACTTGCTTTTGAAGTGCCATTYATTTTAGATCCTTCCCTGTGGTCTAGTATAAAGATTATCAGTTCTGGCGATGTAATTTGCAAAATATCTTCATTTGTTATTTCTTGTTTGATTTTGGTTTCGACAATAACATTAGTAATAATTAGTATCGAGCGATTTAGAGCATCAAGACAAACTGCACAAATATCACAGCCATACACATTGAAGCAACGGTTGGCGGTCGTTACCGGTTCTTGGTTGTTTTCAGGAGCGCTTGCGGCACATGAAACTCCATATAGAGCTACAGAAGAACTCCTTACAGGCTTGTATGCTTGTAAAGGATCATCCAACGTACCATATAGTTTAGTCATCTTTGTGTACACCATATTCGTCCTTCTATTTTTCAGCAGTATTATTCTGAACTGCTTTACATTGCGAAGGATCATGCGACCACCCGAAATTGTAGCAAGTCTTTCAGAAGTGCAGAGGAAAGCCAGGGCTAAAAGAATATCTGKTGCAGTCAAAATGGTTTTATACTCGTTTCTTCTTTTTTCTTTTTGTTACATTCCTTTCATTGCATGGGACTTGGTTAAACACTTTCATAGGCGTACAATGGGTAGCAATCTCTTCAATTGTTACGACTTATATATTTTTGACCCTTTGATGATTTTTCTCCCAATCGTAAATTCCTGCTTTGGACCTTGTATCTACTTAACATTTTTACCTGATTTTCGTAAAGCAGCGAAGAAAGTAGTTTGCCGAATGTCTGGAAGAAATGCAGTTGAGCCTTAAGGTTGTCAAATTAGAATGTGCAGGTAAATGCTTCATTTTTTTTCTTTCTCGTTCTAAAATGGCGGTTGGCGGTTGGATTCCAGATTGTAAAGCCATTTTTTTCGGATTCCGGATTCCGCGTCATTGGATAAGATCTATAGAAGTAGAATTGTAGATCTACAAGGCATTAATTTAATTGAACATCATTCTGTTCTGCCTTTGTGTTGATTTATTGGAACCTTGTCTGTTGACATAAAGCTTCACGTMTGTTTATTGTCTTTTGATTAATATGTGTCTGAGCGTCTTTTTGTGTTGAATTTAAGTTTATAAACTTAGTATTACTATTCTGGAAGATCTCTTGAGACTTTAATTGAAATTTKTCCCTTGCTGTAATATCGCACAGCCATTCCTTTTATTAAATTGTATTTAGGTGGGTGTCAAAAAGTCAGTGGAGAATATCTCATATAGAATTCAGTGAGCTCATCTTTTTCTTCACTTTCCTCGTCTATTTAGCTACTTTTTCTTTTGATGGTCATCTAATGCTAATTTTAAAAAWTCCTCAGAGTTAAACTGAAACCTGATGCAAATGCGAGCTGTCGCTGACCGCAAAGACAGTGTTGTCAATCTCAAATATACATCTAATGTAATATTGATATTGATTGCAACAAAAATTGCTTATCCATTGAAAATCTATCTTTCTAACAGAAATATTTTCATGTCATTTAGATAACGAAGTTTTTCGATAGCGACAAGAAGGATCTAGACTTCGCTAGACTATTTTAAAATTCTTTCGTATTTTCTTCAGTGCTAATTACACCTTGCAGTTTAGTTCTCTACAAAGAACATGAGCAATTCTACTTTTTACAACAGTAATCATTCGAAAACGGGACTTAACTGCGGCTTAAAAGTTTCAAGTTCGTTTCGTGATATTCACCAATTCGCTGTTTTCTTCGTTGGTGGATGTGGTCTTTTCGGTAACATCTTTATCATCGTCCTCGCGGTTAAATACACTGTGAGAAAGAACCTTCATCATTTGATCATCAACATGGCGGTCGCAGATACCCTTGTTGTACTTTCGTTGTGGATTGAGACCGAGATGGTTTCCACTGAAATACCTTGTAAGATATTTACATTTTTGACTAGTACTGCAATTGCTACTTCGTACGTTTCACTTGTTATAATCAGCATTGAACGATTCAAAGCAACAAGAAGAACTATACCAACACAGCCATATACGCAAAAGCGACGTCTTACGGTTGTTGGGTGTTCGTGGGTCATTTCTGGTGCTCTTACAGCTTTAGAAACACCTTACTTAGCTTATATCCAAGAATCGGTGTACTGGCGAGGTTTAATTTTATGCAGMGGAACTGCAGGAGTGCCAGAGTCTGTGAAAACCTTTCGAAACTGTACTTTTCTTTTTGCAAATTGCTGTATAATCATCTTGAGCATCTTGACATTGCGAAGGATTTCGCAACGACAACCAATTGAAGCAAATATCTCTGAAGTACAACGGAAAGCAAGGAAGAAGAGAGCTGTTTCTACTATAAAAATGGTTTTGATCTCATTGCTTCTTTTCACCTTTGCTTATTTACCCTATACAGTTTGGCATGTTTTGAAAGTTATTCTTGAAAAKGAGAAMATTTTGACGAAAACAGAAATTGTGTGTTTTGAGTCGAGCATATTTGACATGGCTACAAACTTGCTGCCTCTTTTGAACTCCGGTTTCAGTCCGGGTGTGTACTTGATCTTCTTGGCTGATTTTCGGGCAGCGGCAAGAAGGTTGTTTTGCAGAAGTGTGCATACACTGGAGATGAGAGAAAATGTTGCACAGCAACAATCTTCACTTTAGACAGGAGAACGAAATGGTTTTTCACATTGAAATTGAAATGGGAAAAGATGTTGGAGGACAAATTATAGACTGACTTGAGAGCTGACCCTACGCTCGCTTTTAAATTCAACTTATAATAATATAATAATAATAATAAATTTAATTCTTATATAGCCCATTYCATTAATCTCAATGGACTTTACAATAATAAAAAGAAACACAAAGAAAAAAGAAAGAAGAAATAATAATAAAAAAAAATCATCGCGAGAAATCCCATAACGTCTGAATATTTATATATATATACTTGAAATATGAGCAAAAAAGATCGTAATTTCTACATAATGCCGTATATGGGGCACTGGAATCATGAAATTGATATTTCATAGCTCGCCCGTCTGTTTAGTGATTGCATATTATTTCTTGGAAAATAAACACATAGCAACAATAAAAAGACAAACAACAACAACAACAACAACAACAACGAAAATAAAAAGCAAAATCAAAAAGAACAAGAACAACAAGAACAACAAAAAGATATGCCTGAGATTATTTCTAAGAAAAATGGTTCGTTATTATGTGAGGAACAGTTTTTTTTAAGACTAAAACATTTGGCATGTTTCATCAGCGAAGAAAATATCAGTGACTGCTTTATTAAATATATCAATTAATTATCTGGCTGCTCATCAATCTTCGTGCTTCATTCATCTTAAATAAATATCATCGTACATGACTGTCATTCCATTATTAAGCCTTGTAGGAGGTTAACAAAAAATTGATGGAAAAAATATTGTTAAGAGAATCTAATATATAGGAGTGTCTATCCAATATATTGTATAAGATATTTACATTGTTAGCAATAAATCTTGTGTCATGGAAACTGATTAAAAGTTTAAAACATATTTCTCAGTGGGTATAGAGTGCAAAACAGTATATGTCTTTCGAAGCTCTAAAGAAAATAGAGTACATATTTGTGTGAAGGCTAATGATAAGTAAAAATAAGACTAATAAGGGTATAGTGCACGATTTCCAAAAGATGAACAACTCTTCTTTTTATTCTTCAAGCCACGATTGCCCGATAAAGGAGACAGAATGGCCTCGTTCTGTTAAGACTTTTGCGGTTTTTTTCATTGGTGGATGTGGTATTTTTGGTAACATCTTCATCATCGTCCTAGCGATTAAGTTTACTGTACGAAGAAACCTCCATCATTTGATCATCAACATGGCCATCGCAGATACCCTCATTGTACCAGCAATGTGGGGCTACATTAAGATGAACACTGGAGACTTAACTTGTAAGATATTTTCTTTTATCGTCACTACCTCTATAAGTATCTCGTACATATCACTAGTAATAATAAGCATCGAGCGATKTAGAGCATCAAARCAAACTATGCAAATAWCACGGGCATACACGCTCAAACAACGAATGGCAGTTGTTG